CACGAGTATGACGGATGAGCCAGCCATCACTGCGCTCGACCATATTTTAGGGAGCCCATTGACCCAGCCCACCACGCCGCCACATGTCTGGACATTTTAGTGAGCATGACTACTCATTCCACACGACCACGTCACAGCTACAAAAATTACTATATGGTAGTTACAGTATTCGCACTTTACATAAGGATGCATGCGGCAATCAATACAAAAGCCGCTACGCTATCATATATCAAGAAAGCAGTATGAAAATTAAAATTATAACGTTGTCCGCAAATAAACTTATTCTTGCTATATATTGCTATCATCTATAAATTCATCTATCTTATAATAGGCTTTTTTACATAGCATTTGTTTAATATAAGATTTGAATTGCCTCTCTGTAAGATTTAGCGTAGACTCTGGCAGTTTATTATAGAATCTTACGCAATTACCATAAAATGAATTACTAACTTTGTGTAGACGGCATTTAGGTAAAATTAGCTTATTTTTATTGCGTAAGTTTCTACTTGTACAGTCTTTAAGTTTCCTGAAACTATCTAAGTTTTTCCTTGTATACATAATATTTTCATAAATGTACTGAGAGGCAACGGTGAGGATATTTGATTGTTTAAAGCATTGACGTAATGACTCTCTAGAACCCATACCATAAATAGAACGTATGGCTCTCTTTTGTAAAATAAATATAGTATTTATATCGGCAGCTTTACCCCATAGCAGTATGCCATATGACATAATGCTATGGAAATACCTAAAATATACAAGTTTTGCCGTCGCCACGTCTGTTAATTGCCTTATCCTTCTAATTGCATAAGCAGCAGAACTAAGTCTACTGGCTAATTTTGAAATATGGGGCCCCCATTGTAACTTCGAGTCCACTGTTATTCCTAAAAAAACTGTATCATTAACAAAATCTACTATTTCATCATTAAGCAATAGCTGCGTATTTACTTGTTTTACATTAGGCAGCGTGAATTTAATGCACTTAGTTTTGTTGGAGTTCAATAATAGATTATTACATGTGAACCAATTTAGTATAGCAGAGATAGCATAATTTACATCGTCTAATTGATTACATTAGCGACCAATTTTAAACATTAACGAAGTATCATCCGCAAATAACACTATATCTGCAACTTTCTCTACCATGTAGGGAAGGTCATTTATATAAATTAAAAAGAGAAATGGGCCTAATATTGAACCTTGAGGAACGCCCATTTTTATATTAGTTCCCTTAGACTTTACACCATCAATATCTACAGTTTGCACCCTATCCTCTAGATAAGTTTTCATTAGACTTAGGTCATTATCTCTAATACCATAATATTTGAGCTTGTACAAAAGTGTTTCATGATCTACGCAATCAAACGCCTTCGACAAGTCACAAAAAACGCCGAGAGCATCCTGTGAGTTTTCCCATGATTCGAATATATGTGTAATAAGCGCTACACCTGCATCAGTAGTAGACTTGCCGGCAGTGAAACCATATTGCTGACTGTGAAGCAGTCCGTTATCCCTGAAGTATTTTAACATTTGGTTAAACATAATCTTTTCAAATACTTTACTTAGAACTGGCAAAATAGAAATTGGTCTATAGTTGCCTAGCTCAAATCTATCTCCAGATTTAAAGAGTGGAATTAATTTGCTAAATTTCATTAATTGAGGAAACACGCCATTATCAACACATTTATTGAAAATAGTAGCCAGATAAGGAGCAACAATATCTATGAATGAACTAACTACTTTAACTGACATGTCCCAGAGATCTTCCGTATTTTTTAAATTTAACTGTTTGAATATTTTTATGACATGAAAAGGGCTGACATGTGAAAATTTAAATGTTAAAGAGCAAGGGCTGACATTAGCCTCCAGTAATGTTTTTGCTCGAATTGGAGATGAGTCTAGAGAAGATGTAATATCAATCGGAATATTAGCAAAAAAATCTTGAAAAATATGAACTATATCTTTTGTTGCTGTTATTAACTTATTGTCATAATTTAATGAGAATTGATTGCAGGCTTTTTCAGACCGTCCAGTTTCTTTGTTTATAATTCCCCAGATGGTCTTAATTTTGTCAGAGGACTGATTAATTTGTTTATTTATAAAATTAGATTTAGCTGCAATACAAACTTGCTTGAAAATTTTAGAGTAATTTCTCACATAAGTCGTAAATTTGTCATCAAATCTATATTTTTTTTGATCATATAAATCAAATAAAATGTTTCTACTTTTAAGTATTCCTACTGTTGCCCATTCTGTAAATTTAGATTTAACACAATATTCTCTTTTCTTGAAAATATTCTGGTATTCTTTTGACAAAAGACTAATTAACTTGGTGTAAAGAATATCAGGATTATTAAGACTGACAGATTGTAACTCTAAGTCTAATTTATATTTAACCGTGCTTTTGTATTTATTAATATTGTAAGCATTTATTTGTCTTTTTGATCTTTTATTATTGGTATTTTTTTTAGTCTGATTACTAAACTTAACAACTTGACCACAGTGATCCGAAGGAAGTTTATTTATTATTAATTTTTCAATATACTCACAGTTACAAAAAACATTGTCAGGACAAGTAGCAGTCTTAGCGGTTACACGAGTGGGTTCCTGAAAGACATTACTCAAATTAAAGGACTGAAATAAACTAATAATTTTTGTACATGTGGGTGTATCACAAAGAATATCAACGTTAAAATCACCACACACAATGATTTTTTTACTGCTATTAAATACTTTTTTTAATATATCCTCCATCACCTCTTCAAATACATTATAATCACTATTAGGAGGCCTATAAACACATATAAGTATATAATTATCTAGTTCTATACATGAGATTTCTGTACAACACTCAATAGAAAGTCTAACAATGTCAGCACGTTCCTTTACTTTAATATTATTTCTTGCAATTATCATAGACCCACCTCTGTTAACTGACTTTCTATTAAATCAACTGACATTATAATTATTTAAACTGAACACCATATTGTTTTCTTTAAGCCAATGTTCAGTGAAACAGATAATGTCAATATTGTATTTTTCCAAAAATAATTGTATAATTAATTCACTGCCGGGAAAACTTTGTATGTTCTGATGAACAATTACCAATTCTAATTGCTTTCCCTTTGTCTTTGTTAGCAGTTTAAATCTGCAGTCAAATTACTTATATCACTATTTAAACAAAAATTAATAGAATCATTTGTTATGTCACAATTTTTATATTGAAGTTTACCATGTAATCTGTTCTTGAAGTCAATATTATAAGCCACTAAAGTGGCTATTTTATTCTTAGAAGATTTAGAAAGATACATTGTATCTTTTGTCAAATAAAAATCACTAATAAAACTATTAGTGTCAAAAAATGTAAAAACGTCACTATGACGACATGTCAATGTATGTAATAAATTATTAAGGTAATGTACCTTATTGTTAATTTTTTTATGATAATGGCTACTTGTATAAGGAAGAGCGCACAATACAATCTTATATACATTCAATTGTAACAAATATTGAATACCTTTAATTATATCCTGTCTATTTAATTTAATACTATTACCAAAAAATAACACAACTGTGGTCATTTTATTCATTTTAGTAGATTTAATTTTGTTAATAATTTGTGCAAATGATGCCCCTGGCATACAGTAATTTAATACATCACCCTTAAGATGATACTTCAATAGATATCTAAAATATAAAGTTTATAAAAAGAATGGTAGACAAGCTGCCAGTAACAGCCACTCTCCAACCGAAACACAACTTACAAAGCTAACTAGCTGAAATAGCTCACCTATTTACCTATTTTCTAATACTGAGGTAACCACGAAATTTTTATTGTTTACCCATGTTAAAAATTAAATACTTATGAGATAAGTGTGTGCGTCACGCTTCGTGTCATGTGTTGTCATAGAATAAAAAAAAACTTTTATCTACTGTTGTGTCTCGTCGAGTAACACTTGTGTTGACGCGGTAACGAGGTATCGCCGCCACATTTCATGCTAACGACGCCTTCACTAGACCATGAAAATTAATCGGAGTATTTTACGGACCAAAACAGTCATGCGTAGGATTAGAGAACTAAGATCTCCTTATATCCTGTATTCTGTAACTTTAATGCCTAACCCCAGTCTCCAACCGAAACACAACTTACAAAGCTAACTACTTGGTAGCTGAAATAGGTGAGATTGAGGTAACCACGAAATTTTTATTGTTTACCCATGGTAAAAATTAAAGACTTCTATGAAACTAGTGTGTGCGTCACGCTACGTGTCATGTGCTGTGTCATAGAATTAAAAGAAAAAACTTTTATCTACTGTTTCGTCTCGTCGAGTAACACTCGTGTTGGCGCAGTAACGAGGTATCGCCGCCACATTTCGTACTAACGACGTCTGCTCTGCTCGTCTTCACATCTCTCTAATTGCACCGTAAAAATGTATATTTCAGATTAGGTCTTTGACTAGTTACTTGTATAATGACTTGTTACACTAGCAAAGATTAAGAAATATAAGAGCATGAAGTTTTTCATCTGTTCTTAACTGAAATAGCCAGTAGGCAGAAGTAGGGATAGTGATGAAAAATTATGACTTGAATAAGGCCGAAAAATAGGGTTTTTCGGCCTGTTAAGCAAATCAAAATTTATGCGAGTAGTAAATATTGATGAAATATTTTTTGTGATTTCAATAAAAACATCAAATTGTGGCTTTTAGTTCGAATAGTTGAATCGAATTAGTTGTGCTTCATTATTTTGTTTATTTATTCATATAAATTTATGTTTAGACATTTTCTATGATTTTTTTTCAGAAAGTATTTATATAGATTAAGTATAGATAAACATAAACTACGGTTAACACTTTACATCAGTCGGGCCTTCAACTTGTTTGCTATTCCAGTTATATGTATATGTAAATTGATAACTGTTAAGATTCAGCCTGTAATCCGGCTCCGTCTTTACGTCGACAACCTGTATATAAAACAATAAACTTTTTATTTGTTTGTTTCAGGTTCACAAAGATTTCTTCGGTCGCATAGTACCATTGTCTCAAATGCAAAGGAATGGTAAGTTTATTTACATTAAATTTATTAGGTACAGCATGATTATTACTATTTTAAAGCTAAAATCAAATTTTCTATTTACATTGTGTTCTGAGCAACGACAGCATTTCTGGCTAGAAAAATTCTGAACAGAGCCTCTTATTTAAAGTCAGTAAAAAAATAAAATTAAAAACTAAACTATGTTATAACTACTTTCTAGTGTAATCTAGAAATTATCACAACTGAACATTTCAAGCTACAAAGAAGACGTATAAACACTTATGTTTACAAATATCATGATATCACACACAGAAAATTACAGTAAAATAGATCTATCTAGAGCATCTCGTTTTTTAAAGTCGGCTAAAACAATGGAGGGCCGAACATTGAAAGCCAGCTCACAATGGAATATAGCCCGCTATTATCACATGACGTTAATCACACGTCGAGTTACAAGCAAGCCTATTATTTTCAATTACCCGCGCACCCGAAAGGGTTGTTAATATTCATTTAGCCGACACCCGCCCGGGAATCGAACACCTGATCTCGCCCACCACCCCGCAACATAATCGCTCCGCCTAACTGATTGTCTAACATTTTGATATTAATCGTGTATAATTTGGTCGCGGATGAGAAATTTTAATAGACATCGTCTAATTATGTTTTGCCTAAGAATATTTTATATCTTATATATAAAATTCTCTTGTCACAATGTTAGTTACCATACTCTTCCTAAACGGCTGGGCCAATTTTTATGAAATTTTATATGCATATTCAGTAGGTCTGAGAATCGGCTGCTATCTATTTTTCTTATCGCTTACTGATGGGGGTTGTCCACCCCTAAAATTTTGTGAAGTCTTCATTCTCACACCTGTGTATTAGTACTTTATTCCCCTATTCACCTCTTAAGACATTTTGGATATAAAAAGGACTGAAAATGAAGAAGGAATGAAAATGTACATATTCCTTAGTCAATATCGTTAAGGATAAGATAATGTTATCAACTATAAGGCGTTTTTATTTCACTCATATAATTATATCTGATAATGAATGTACCATCACTATTTGTCACGTGGTCTGTCTCCCTCTTCTATTTCTTTGTATACTACTATAATTGGACAGAAAAAAGGAGAGATTAATTAATTTATTAAATTAAGATTTCAATATAATTCATTATTTCGTTAATTTAATTTCAGCCATGCAGTGTCCACTGTACATAGGTAATTGATAGGATTTTCCTATAAATGACTATAAAGTAGGTACATTGGCTCTGCAATATACAGATGTCACTCTGTCTTGTAAGGTATCTATGTAGTTACAGGGCAAGAAAATGCCTCATTTTTGTCGGCTTTTCAAATTACGTAGCAAGCCCATTCTTTAACGTCGTCTATTCATTATTCCTCTAAATTATTTAATTTCCAACATTATACAGTATGCGCTACAATTGTGTAGCTCCTTAAAGCGAATTGGCTCGGCTGCCCACCCCCCACCCTGCAGGCTCCACCTTCACAATTCTCGTTAAGGTGACTGTTTAATAATCTCAACGCGATTTGTAATGGGATTGAGTGGAAATTCGCTCGACGTCTCTGAATCCATATTGTTACTACGCAGTACAGTCGGCCACGATATTGTTAAAGAATATGTTTATCTAATTTCATTCAAAGAATTTGTACAATGTCATCTGCGTAGGTAGTTCAGTAATCAAGCGGTTTGTTTCGTAAGTGAATGTACAATCTCAGGAATGCCAATCCATGAATTATAATCTATAAGCGACGGTTACCACTTTCCATCTTGTGAGTATACAGCTCATTTACAACACAAAATATGTAAATGTTGATTACAATTTTTCGAAACTATTAACAATATACTATGGACTATCTTCAATAGCACATTCATTGTTAGAACATCAACTATATGTGAATGAAAAAAAAATACCACTCAATCAAAACTTAAAGGCAGTATTTTAATAAAGATATTTTTTATTATTTTCTGTCGTTTTTGAATTATCCTTATCATATTTTGTCATCATTGGTGAGTAAATAAAAAAATATTACATTTTTTAATTGTAAGTAAGATGTAGCACTGCCGCAAGACGTGTAGCTAGTCTACAGTTATTTGTCCTATGCTCCTACGTAGCTTATCTGGCGTAGAGTTAATGTAGCAGACGTTGCTACGTAGTGCTCTATGACTGTCTACAAGTAAACGATTAACTTTATTACTGCCTACGTAATACTTAATTAAAAATCTCAGGTTTTAATAAAACATAAGTATTTTAATAAATTATTTAAAGTATTGTAGGTTGAGATAACAGAAATGTGCGTGCACATATTCGTATACTTTTAATATTGTATTTTATATTATAAATTGTAACCGTTTTTTATCGTATCATCAAAACGACAAACAGTACGGCGGCTACCGTTGTTAACATGTCCTTTTCACTTCAACGAAACGCACTTTATTCTAGTATTGAGTCATAGAACTAAATAAATTTCTTCTCAGTTAACTATCACTCTCAATCTTCGTCTCATTTACAGTGTCATTACTATTTTTGATTCCTCAAAATACAGTATTTAGTGGTTATATATCTGCGCATGTTAATGATGTACATACAGTTTTTTGTAACCGAATTGGCATTCTAAAGGACTAGTCATGCGACCATACCCCGTAATTTCACTTCAATATCTCAGCCGCAACATAAGCCAAGTTGATTGGTGAAGAAATAGGTGAAACCGATGTGCCCACTTACGGAGACTTTGTAGAAAGTCAACGTCAGTATAATAAAACTATGTCGCATTGTACAGAAACCAGCCAAAGTTATAATGAGGGCCCTCTGTTTAAACTAATTGTTGGAGCGCTGCCGGCGGCTCCCCGAAATTGGTTTTGCTGTTTGATTTCTCGGCGATTGTTAATATTCTCATTGTAGTACGAATCCATTCGGATTATCGCGATTATTGTTCATTAGTTGTAGCCCATTTCTCTATTAATATAGATATTTGTTAGATGAGATAGATTTGGGATTGATATACGCATGAGATTTAGTTATTGACGAAATTAATATAGTATACAACAGTATGTGTAGGTATTTATGATGAGAGAGATCAGTTTGTTGGGTTTTATTAATATATTAAGTATTTTTCTTTTTCGATATTCGGTAAGAAGGTAAAATTTGGTTGCAATCTTAATTTAAGAGAGGGTTAATGGTTTACTATCGTTTAATTAATATTTAATATAAGTAAGTTTTTTTCATTCTGTATTGGATCTGCACTTAATACTACTTACGAGTACATTCATAAAACGTTGAATACAAAAATTACTTAATACTCAATATTTATTGCATTCCATAATCCTTACACAAGGGAAAAAATTTAAAATGTATATACCACTTCTTGTGCTTTCTCTCTTTAGCGTTGTCCTGATTTATCTGAGTCACTTTTATACTTGTCTCGTCTTTTTTCTTCTTACAAATTCTAATTTCACAAAGCTATAGACCACTTCCTACGGCCTCCTTACAAGTTTGTATTCACACATGTAGACTTGAAATTTAAATTTACAACGATTATATAAAAGAGCAATACGCAAGTTTATTGCTAATTCTCACCTGCTATCTTTCTTTTAATCTACCGCTCAGGTGATTAAACGATTAACTATGACTATTCAAAATTGCTTAATTAAGTTTATGAGAATAAAGGATTTTCTATTCTATTATATTCTATTTATGCATGTTACTTACCATTAATCAATGTATGCTGTATGTTTTTTCTTCTGATATATTTTTGTAATTTTCTAAAAAGTTTCTAATTCAATTAAAATAGCATAGATTATTTTTTTATCTATTGTTATCACATTTTAATCTCAATTCTAAATGAACAATCACTACGTTTTACCGTATTAATGACTTTTAAGTAAAATAATTACAGACATATAAGTAATTCTATGCATAATATAAATCAGTATGTGTAAAATATAAGTCGTTTCAACCATTAGTGTGTCGTTTACATAGCGGCGGGGTGATAGGCTCGCGGCGCGGCAAGTAGGCGGCACAATACAGAACAATTAACAACGGCAAACACTGAGAACGGTCCCTCTCACCCCCGTACCGACTCACTGCGTAATTACGCTACACACTTGTACGACAGCTGATTATGTAATCTATATACATGACATTTTTTTTATTTATGGTGCACCCACCAACGCTCACGTTTTGCGGTGGCAGGGCACCAGTGGATGATGACAAAATTTGCCTGATGTCAGGTCAGTTACCCCATCTTTGCAAATGTCAATTTACAACTATGGTTTCCAGGGGAAACCGTTATGGTTCCCAGGGAGAATAGCATGGAGATCAACCTGACATTACTCGCAATGAGGTTATTTAAAGAATAAAGAGGTTTTGTGGGGTTATTACTATTATTCCACATTACTAACAATATTAGATACGTGACAATCATGAATAGTCGAGTTGATCTGTGAAAGAATATTAAATAACTACAGGAAAAGGGGCGGATTCAAATAATATTAGTTTCGTAGTTAAATAAAAAAATTGTAATTTAAAATGAAATTAACATCAAGTTGAGTGCAGCGCCTGCTCACTAGCAGCCAGCTGGGCAGGTAGCGACGAAGATGTGTGTTGACGTACGTTGGCAGACCTACACACGATCCTAAGTCCCGAGACTGTTCAAAGTTTACCTCTCTGCCACACGATGGACCCGGCACCCGCACCGTGAATCCATGGAATACTAAGAAGTTCTCTTATCTAATTAAAACTGACAAACTATTCTGTTGAAATTGGAACACTCGAAACTCGTGGATTCAACTGTGCAGGTTTTGTTCTTCAGCATTTTCAATAGGACTGAGCACTGCGAACATACACACAAGCCTATTCAAATTTGTTGTTATGTTCCGAACAAGAGAGCGTGAGATTAGATTGTTCCACGCAAGGGTCCATATATCTCGCTTGGGCGGTATACGTTACACGTGTAATTGATATTAACTACGTTGTATGGACGTGCTAATTGCGGTGTTGCATATGCTACTCGCTCAATGTAAATTACATTTGTATTTAGACGATATGAATGTAAAGTAGTCACTTGTTTTTAACCTTATATAAAAAGAAAGAGGTCTATATTGTTTGGTTTTTAGTCAATGGGTCTTATATGGGAATGAGTATTAAAATTTTACAGAGAGATACCAAGGGATATTATGGAATTACCTTGAAATAAGTTTAAATCAGTTAAATCATATTTATTCAGCAAACTCTATTAGTCACAAAATGATTACTTAAATGCCAAACGTTTATGGCTGTTCATACACGGGATTTTAATTTAATGTTAGACATATGGCATAAGTACACAATGTAAGTAAACTGGTAAAAAAAAGAAATTTAGTTGAGTTTCTTGCCAGTGCATCTGAATTGAATACAGATTCAATTCCGTGTACAGATACGGAACTGGGCGGTAGGGAAAAATATTAACACAAAAAACTTCACGTATATAAGCGGCTAAAGTTCATAATAATGTGTCTGCGTAATTTATTCATAATTATTTTTGATTTGATTTATATTGCCTAATATCTTCGCTAATTGTGAACTGTTCATATATTTTCTACACAATAACAAGTAATGAGTAATGTTACTAATATAAATATATTATTTATCAACTGTGAATGAATTAATTTTTGGTAAATTAAATATTTACACCAATCGAGATTACATGTACCTTATAATATTTCGTGTTAAGATACAATAACTTACGTTAATTGAAGTTAAATTGAAGTTCATAAATAAGTAGTTCATTGTATACTTACAATTTTTTTCATCATCATCATCCTGTCGCTGTCTGTCGTATATTGGTACAAAACTTACAATAAAGTTATTACATACATTCTTTTATTCATCGGCTTCATAACTTTTATCATTCTACTTGTAACTTAAAATAATTTATGAATAAAAGTTATGAAGTAGGTATAACATGTAGTCTTTGACTAAATTCACCTCTCAAAGACTACACAGGTTATTTTTTTTATAATAATTTCCGTATGTAAAGTTTGTTACAGCTGGCATTTAATATGTGGTTGTGTGCGCAGACGCAGTCCCTGACGTGATATCATCGAGCAACGTGTTCTACCAATACAGAGAAGGGTACAACAACGCGGTGCGTCGCAACGTACGGACCAAGGATTTGCTATAACTCAATATTTCGTAATCTGTAATAAACATTGCGCGGCTCCGGGGGGCAGGTCTTTGCGGGGCACCGTTTTTATTAGGACGTTTGTGCTATTGTCACGTGCTAAGACTTGTAACACCTGTATAGGTCTATTGTGCTCGCCCTTATTCAAAGTTCACTACACACAGGTCCTCACAGTGATCTTTTGGTCAAGAATTGAAGCAGCGATGGTTTTTGATCTCCTCAGAATATAGTGCATATTTTCCAAAGGAGATGTTTATGCACGAGCGGGCTACAACCACATAGAATGTATAGTGGCGTTTCCGTTTCTGCTTGAAAAAATCTCCAGGTTGATGTTAAGCTAAGGACCATATTATGTATATTGAGGTTTGCGAGTGTACATGTCTATGGGGTCCGCAATCTCATGTCGCGGCAATTTAATAGTAATAATAATAATAGAAGAACAGAGGATTGTTACTAACGCTCTGAAAGAGGTCCAACTTAACATATTATTTTAAAAACTTAGATCTAAGATTCTTCCTTGTTAAGTTTACATGTATAAAATGTTTTTATACATAATTTGTATATTACCACATTTATTTATCATATTTTAGCCTTACATGTACTTGTAATTTATTATTCCCCTGTACATAAAATTGCTTTTACAATTATTTAGAATTTACTGCTTACTTGATATTAAAATTCTTTTACCTCTAAAATCTATATATGTATATTGTCAGGGACAACATGATTTATTTAAAAAATATGTCTATAACTAATGAAACCGGGCCGTGAGAAGCTGGGACATGTCGCTAGTATAACATAGATTGTCAGCATAAACACAACAGTTAGCAAATACGAAAGTCAACCGGCTGTATATATATTTGCAAGGAAACGCCCAACTCTCACTTTATTGGGTACTAAATTGTAAACTTGCGTTAGTTAGCACACGGCGCCGACGGGACACCTGAGCTTGCCAACTTTGTCCGTAAATCGTCTGCAATATAGATATATACATATATATACATATATTGTATTGTATTAATATTATAAATGCGGAAGTTTGTAAAGATATTTGAATGTTTGTTACTCTGTCACGGTTATCCGGGTGCAACACCTGTATCTATAGTTATGGTTATCTTAATCTCGTGAAGACTGACTGAAATATATATATTTTTATGCAATTATGTTTTATTTTTTACAGCTTTATATATTAGTCCCTTGGAATTAGAGGAAGTAATACCTAAAACTAAAACATTTAAGATAATTATGAATTATATGCATGATAAGAGACATGCCATCTTAGCACTCTGGAATGGCAGCTAAGTAATATCTTTTTTCTTATGGATGATAATGGTTTTTTTTAAAGGATGATAATGGAATGGGGCACCCGCCTGCGCTAACGGTTTACGGTGGCGGGGCACCAGTGGAGGATGATAGGATGTACATGAAGTCAGATCAGTTAGCCCAACGTGACAAATTCACCGGGAATGTATCACGATGGTTTCAAGGAGGAACCGCGTGGAAGTCGATCTGACATGGTACATTGCTAGCAATGGGATCATTAGTCCACATTACTAACAACCCTCTTCCCATTGATGGATGAAATTGGTATGGTGCTTCCGCCTGTGCTAACGGTTTAAGCAGGCGCACCAGTGGAGGATGATAAAATGAGGTGAGGTCAATTAGTCGGGCAAAATTCACCATGAATTTATCACAATGGTTTCATGATGTCAGTCTGACATGGTACAATGTTAGCAATGAGGTTATTAATCTAACAATTCCCTTGCATGAGCGGTATAGATAGCGTCACTTGATAATGTGATGTCCGTAGCGCTATTCATGTATATACATACAAATAAATAAATAAATATAGACAACATTATTTACCATTCCAATTACATAAAAAATTCTACCTAATAATTACCAGTTACTAAATATTAAAAAAATCTAAGGTAAATTCCTGAAGTGTTAAATATTAATCATAATATACTTTACTTAGATGTAATAAACTAAGATGGATATGAACTGAGGGACTGTAGAACTTGGTATCTTGCGAAATATTGACAATGGTTTAGTTGTAGATATCAAATAGAATCACGGAATAAGAGAAAAAAATATATAAAAAAATAAAATCACAATCTTCATAGTCTGATCCCTTATTTCAGTGTAAATAATCAAGACGCCATCTTGCCATTTGAAATTAAACTCTGTTCATAAATATATCAAGTGTTATTTAGGTGTACCCGAGATCCAGAATGAATTGTGGTAATTCATGATTTACACCAAAACTTTGCGAGGTGCGATAAAACTTAGTATATAAAATATGAAAGAAGTTAGTAATTTATACGAACAATTTGTTGTTGGTTATTAATCTTAGTAGTAAATGAAATGGAACGAAACTTCGAAATTATTTCTCATACAGCCGTTGAACCGATTTTAAAAATAGTAGGTATCAGAGGGTAGTTTGAGCTGTCATTTAAATTGTACGTGTTTTGAATTCTCCGTAATATTTTATTAAATACTAAATGTATATTACAGTGCAAAAAACATAATTAATACTAGTTGATACCTCAATCAGTTAGGCATAATAAAGTGAACTTAGTTTATACATAGTTAAAGGAGTTATAATCAAAAGTGGATGGAAAGGAATACACAATCATTGTTTCTGTTCCTACTACCGCTGTTGTGACTATACAAAGTTATTATTGTGAACTATTTAAATTTTCAACGTATTTTAATTACTCAATAGGCTTCGTGACTAATAAACAAGAACATACGGGAGTGCAATTAATATCGACGTGACGTTGCGGAGCAAACCTTTTCATTATTGTGTTAAACTGCGTAGAAAACTACAATGTCTTCTGAAGTACTACGCTGTGCTGGGTGTTTTAAAAAAATCGTGAGCAATATATACCTTACCTGCAGCATCTGTAAACAACACTACGATCTGATCTGTGCAAATGTAGCTGAAAAAACATTTCTTTACTAAAATAGGATGTCGATACTTGATATGGAATCGCGGCGACATTTACATCTGGCATCTTTGCTGTTCGGTCTAATAGAATTTAAAAGTCCGGAATATCTATACTGTAAGCTGAACTTTTCTACATTTGATAAGCGGTACCCATGTAGGTCTATTCGTCCACCTTTGTCGCTTCAACGTCACAAAACTAGCTTTTACTGGCAGCTTTCGTTACCGGGCAACTAAATGTTGGAACAATATTCCACCACCCATCAGAAATATTACATCTCAATATACATTTAAAAAACATATAAAAACACACCTATTACAGCAACAAAAACTAAGTTGTTCTGGTGACAGAGCGCAGTAATATTCTAATTGATTTCCTTTCCATTAAGATATTTTTCACTCCTTCATGGCTATAATTATTATTTTTTTTACACATTTATTATATTCCTGTTCATAGTATTCATATATATCAAACTAAATTGTGGTATCTCGGTATTTATAAAGTTCTGGTACTCTAACTGTAATTCGTACTTTCCAAGTTCTTTTATTACTTATTTATTTCACATTATTTCGTTTAGTTCATTTTAGTTTATTAAAAAAATATACAAGGTACGTTATTCAACCTCGAGGACATAGCTGAAAATCAGTGTTTTGCTCTTTGAGTGATTCTCCACACTGAGCTATGTACCAATTTTGTATTGCTGTAGCACACACATGCAGGTTTACCCTTTATTGAACTGTTATATTGTAGGTACTTGTCATTTGATGTTGTAATTAAGCCTGTATGTGTGTACTAAGATACAAATAAAAACTATTATCTATCTATCTATCTAGGCGTTCGAGTATTTAAATAACTAATTACATGAATTATTTTTTCAATCAAACCTCAGGGGTACTTGCGATATTAGTTTTGTGAATATGGAGTCAGTTTGTATTTCCAAAAAATATAGGCTGCATATGACTTGGGAACTATGGGCCAAATACCGAATAGATTTTGAAAATATTAGTATTTAAAAATAAGTGGTTCATGTATTTGATTATCCACCTCATCTCTAGGATTCCAGTTGGGAAGTCATAACATATAATTTATATTTATTTATTTAAATATGTCACTAGAGGTTAGAGACGAAATTTATTCAAAATGGTATGCATGGGGTTACCTTATTCTCACCTTTTTTCAACTTACTTTGCAAGCTGTTATTCGGTTGAAGTGTGGAGATACAATTCTAGAAGACTAAGACATGACACCTTAGTCTTCTGCAATGGCAACACATGACTAGTATCGCACTCGCGGACGTCACACGATGATGTTATGTCTATATTGCTGCTCAAATATGGTATATAGGGCACGGTTATATTATTTGAAAAGAATGGGAGTTGAGTTTCTTATTGAAAAGCCAGAAACACAGGTCGAATTATTTTCATCGCTCGTATTCTTATCTAGAGAGCACTCCGATATATTTGACATATCATTCTGTAATAAGTCTGTAATAGACCTAAATGAATAAATATATTTTGAATTGAATTGGTTATAGCTTATCAGCAGATGGATTTTCAATTCACCATTATAATTATATTAAAAAAGTTTGCACAAAGGATCTACGTGGTCTTTTACCTCAGTCTCACCTATTCTAGCCTTCAAGCAGCTTGTTTATTAGCTATAATTAGTTTAAATGAAGAGTATTTGATATAGCAGTAAAATTATAAGTTACGATCATGACGTATATCCGTGGTGCTATGTACCAATTTATAGGCGCCGGTTGCCAGTTTCCATCAGGTGGGTTGTCAGCATGTTGACCATTTAAGTTGCGTAAATAAATCTTAATGAAGAATGGATAATGATTTGTCACCTTACCATCCATTAAATATTTGGTATGAAGACGAAGTAAGTAGATACACAGAAACATACTGTTTGTTATATAATTTATTATATTGTATTTTTTACTAATGTAATTGTAGAGTTTTTGAATGCTTGACAAATACATACCTATGCTACCTAAGGCTTTCCTCTAGGATAAGACATTAAAAAAAGAATTTCTATTATAAAATCTATGCTGTGCTAGCCTGACTAGCTAGAAACGGCACGGTCACTCGGTCTAAAAGTGCATTATACGAGCAGACCGGGAACGGAATGGACGAGTTATGAACAGGGTTCTAAT